ACAGTGGCAGCACCTACCTACATGGCCAACAGGTTACCCAGTTGGGTTGTCATCAAAATTGAATAGAGTTGTCCTTTAGCTCAGTGCATTCCAGTTAAGTGAATGAATGTTATCATTCTTTCTGTAGCATTTAGGCACCCATGCTATGTATCCAGCACTGGCAGTGCTTATCATTTCTCCTAGCCTTGTTGCAACTAACTACCTGCTCGTCTGGCTGGTTCACACACACTGCAGCTGAAGCGGGGCCTTTCTGCCGCTGCAGGGCAGCACAGGGCTTCAACCAGGAGACACAAAGTGCTGTCGCAGCAGAGAGACGCGAACAGCCCATCACGCTTCCTCCCTGTAGGGAGGAGACAGCAAGAAAGTAAAAGAGAGGGTTGCTTTTTCTTTGAGTTGGGGGGAAAAAGTAAGCAGATTTCAGGGGTAAATCGCGTGACTGAGAAAACTGCACAGGCCATCCTCACTGGTCTTCCTAGTGCCTCCTTTCCTTTCCCTGTAACCTCTTACACCTCCTTCCGTCTGCAGGACTCCTCTCCACACCCTGTCCCCATCCTAAATTCACAGGTTGCCCTAACCTCTTTTAGCCTCAGTTTCTTTAGCCATAAAATTCGAAAGAATTTTGAATGTATAAGATTACTTCCAGGCCTAAAATTCTGTGATTCTGTAACTTCCCTGGGGTCAAAAGTGCTTAAACCACAACTGTGAAATGTAGAGGGAATCTTAAACATGAATACTGCACTTTTATTCTCCTCTAGTGGGCTGACTAAAGTGAGAGTTTCAAAGACTGGTGAAGGTCTTCATACGATCCACTTCTGTGTCCAAGTCCTATTTAGGAACTCTAACAAATATGGTATAAAAAGAAACGGGTTTCATACAAAAGGCTTCACCTGGGGAACTCCTTCTTAAAGTCTCTTTTCAGGGACTCCCTCTAGCCACATGGAAACAAAAGCCAACATCCCAGTAAAACACGAAACATCAAAATTCTAATTCATTCATCGTTCCCCACCTGCCCACACCTCCCAGTTCGTATCATTGGCGTCAAACCCTTCATATTGCAGTCTACACAGATAGTTATTTACAACTGAGAAAATACACACCACACTCCCTTTTCTATTCTATTCTTGTTATTTTTAATGCTGAGCACAACCCACTAAAATGATTTCACGACCCATTAATGGGCTGCAAACTGCAGTCCAAAAAACCCTGCCCTAGGTACAGCTATGCTCTGAATGTTAATGTTCTTCTAATTTTCTATGTGGTGACTTCACAACTGTAGGACATGAACAGATCAGCTTTGTAGATTGGCAACACATGAACACAGACAGACTAGTCCTAAAATTTTAAAAATTTAGAACAAAGTGAATTTAATACATTCAGTGATCTATAAACCACGGAAATTAAACATAAATGGAAAGGAATTAGCTAAAAGTATTAACGTTTTTAAATATCTGGGAGAAAGTGATGCCTTAGGGGAAAAGTTACTCTTCTTCCAGAGAAGATGGACATCTAGATTCTTTGAAAGACAGAGCAATCACTTCTCCCCAAGCTCTGCCTGAATTATTGATATTGCTCTCCTTCACTTAAGTCCTAACAGCTATTCTGCCTCTCTCGTTTACTCAGCTAATAAAGAAGGTATTATAGTGATAAGAACAAAATCTTGGGGTAGCATGTTTCTCATTTCTGGGTGATCATTTGAAAGAAAAGACAAGAACCAAATATCAGCGCAAAAAAAAAAAAAAAAATCAAGGCAGTCTATGGAGGTCTTTCATGACTGCAGAGAATGAAGGTTAGGAGATGTGCTGATAAATGAATGAGATTCAACAGAACCCTTATTAGTCAGTGTCCCCTGAATGAGTGTGGCATGGAAAAGAGAGCTAATCTTTATTTTTAAAATGTGTTTATTTCTTCAATTGTCAAAAATTGTATATATTTATTGTGTACAACATGATGTTTTGAAATATCTACACATTGTGGAATGGCTAAATCGAGCAACTTAACATATGCATTACCTCACACACTTATTTTTTGTGGTGAGAACACTTAAAATTCACTTTCAGCAATTTTCAAGAATATAATACACTGTTACTATAGTCACCATGTTGTACAGTGGAGCTCTTGAACTTGTTCCTCCTGTCTATGTGCTAATGTGTATTTTAAGGATGTTTCAGGGGGTACTAGATTTAAGAGGAACTCACTTGGAAGCTAAGTGGCTTTTTTTTTTTTTTTGCGTTTTTATTTTAGTAAAACATAACATAAAATTTGCCATTTTAACCATTTTAAGTGTACAGTTCATAGCATTAAATACATTCACAATGTTTGCAACCATCACTACCCTCATTTTTTCCCTAAGGCATCACTTTCTCCCAGATATTTAAAAATGTTAATACTTTTAGCTAATTCCTTTCCATTTATGTTTAATTTCCTTGTTCACTTTGTTCTAAATTTTTTTAATTTTAGGACTAGTCTATCTGTGTTCAGTGTTGTCAGTCTACAAATTGATCTGTTCATGTCCTGCAGTTGTGAAGTCACCACATAGAAAATTAGAAGAACATTAACATTCAAATGAGGGTAGTTATCTTTGCAACCATCACCATTTCCAGAACTTTTCATCATCCCAAACCGAAACCCTAGCCATTAAACAATGAATCCCCATTCCCCTTTCCCCCCAGCCCTTGGTAACCTCCATTCTACTTCCTGTGTCTGTGAACTTGCCTGGTCTGTGTCCTTCACATAAGTGGAATAATACAATATTTGTCTATTTCTGTCTGGCTTATTTCATTTGCTAGCCCACATCTCTTAATTCATCTCTTTTCTCAAGTAGGCCAGAACTAAGCAATTTTTAAAAATGGGCTCAGGGAAGTTTTATGACAGTGAGGTTACAGGTGCCTGACTTCATGGGGCGTTCATCTGCCCAGAACTCAGCTTCCTCGCAGCTTTACCTGAGCAGAGCACCCCTGCAAACAAGCGCTCGGAATACTTGCGGACTGATGCAATGCTGCTCACAGGGCCCACGCCCGAAGAGGACACAGTTTACTCACGGGAGAACCCACTTTTTTTTTCGTGACCGGCAACGGATCGCAACCCTCAGTGTCGCGCCCGTACCGGACCGGGACCGGCTACGGGATCGCAACCCTCGGTGTTGCACCCGCACCTCGCTCAGCCAGTGAGCGTTCAACTAAACTTTTACTAGTCCTACCCTTCACAGGTCATCTTAGTCCTCCTTGACAATCTTCAACCCTGACAAAACCTGCAGTTCATTTTGTCTGCCCTTGTTTGAAGCTACTAACAAAAGGCTGTGCACCTGTGCTCCCAGACTCCATTACTGCTTATTCCCAACCTCATCTTTAAACAGCATTCTTTCTTATTAGGCTGTAATAGCTCTTCCAAATGTCGACACCTCTCCCAAACACAGCCACACCTTTGTTTTCAGAAGGTGACCCAATGGCTGTGTTTTACTCATTTGTTATCACTTCTATCTCCTCTCTGCTCTTTCACCAAATAGTTGGACTTCAATAATTTTTGACAAGTAAATTAATAAACAGATACATTCAAGTGAAAGACTAGTGGTGTGATAGCAGATTGTGAATGTTGTGCTTTATTTTATGCAATGAAATCTGTTTCAGAACCCACTTTTGATTCTTACATTATGCAGACTTCTAGCAAGCTTCTAAAGTTTCCAATCCCATCGCATTTTAGTAATAGCATATTAGGTGAGAGGAGAGAGGAGCCACTGTAGATATGCTCACTAGCAGTGAGAAATGATTACGAGAGGAAATCATCTTTCACTCATCGGGAAGGCCGCCGGTCATCATGTCTTGTAGCATAATAATAGAACTGATATTCAAAATGATACCCTTGTGTAATCCACTCACTCATTCAGCAAACCGAGTGTGAATCCAGGCACTGTGCAAAGCATTGTGGAGATTGATCAGTAACGCGCAGTACTTGCCAATAAAAGGCTACATTACAATCATTCTTTAAGGGAGACTCCCAGTATTTCTCCCAATGTTTTTTGTTTAAGTATTGGTGCTTAAAAGGGTTAATCCTCAATCATCTAATATATCATCCTTTGACCAGAATTCTGAGTAAAGGATAACTGTCTGTGAATTTCACTTTTATAAAATGGACCGATTTGGAGCTGACTGTTGGCGTGTGAATACCAAAGGAGTTATCCTCAGTTTCCCTGGTTACACCTAGGTATTCATGCTTGACTGAGAGAATGTTTGGAATGGAACAGAGAAAAACCTAGGATGTTCCAATATAAAGCATCTTCAATAATAGAATGAGCATCTGTGAGAAAATAGGTTTTAGGAGCTGGCTGGTTAGTTCATTGGTTAGAGCACGGTGTTATAACACAAAGGTCAAGAGTTCAGATCCCCTGCTGGCCAGCCCCCCTCTCCAAAAAAGAAAACGTGCGGGCCGGCCTGTGGCTCACTCGGGAGAGTGTGGTGCTGATAACACCAAGGCCATGGGTTCAGATCCTATATAGGGATGGCCGGTTAGCTCACTGACTGAGCGTGGTGCTGACAACACTAAGCCAAGGGTTAAGATCCCCTTACCGGTCATCTTTTTAAAAAAAAAAAAAGAAAAGAAAAGAAAACATGCTTTAGTTGTTTTTGGAGGGGATGGGGAAGAGGGGTGGAAGTGGATCTGTTCATGATCTGTTCATGTCCTGATTTCATTAAATCTTGTAAGATTTAATCAAAACCTTACAAGAGTGTAACTCATATGTGAGAGCACGCTTGTAAAAATTATCCAGGTCATTAAACTAGTCCCTGCAGCTGCGTCTTCAAGCCTCTCGCATAGGCTCTCAGTGCCTCCTCGTATGACATGTGCTGGGCCTGAGCTACATCATCCACCTAATACAAACATGCTGCCTGTCCCAGCCAATATGCCTTTCGGATGGGCCCAGACAGTTCTGCCATGGTGAGCCTGAGAAGGAAGGCCCTCCTCCGCCCTTGCTGAACCTGCTCCTCTCCCCGTTCTCTTCCTGGCTGCAGTACCCTGTCCAAGTGCTGCCATGCGATGGTGGCACTCATCTACCCGTTCACCTGGCAGCACACCTACATCCCCGTGCTGCCTCCTGCCATGATCGACATCGTGTGCTCGCCCACCCCCTTCCTCATCGGGCTTCTCTCCAGCTCGCTGCCACTGCTCCGGGAGCTGCCGCTGGAAGAGGTGAGCTCTGAATCATCCCTGTCTCCCTCCCCACAGGTGCAGAGAGCAGAGGGGAGGTGCTGCTGAAGCTCTGGAGCACATGGTGTCAGGGGAGCAGGGGCCACCAGAGGCTCGTCTGAGATAGGTGCTACTGGAGTCTGACTCAGCTGGCCCACTGCAAACACAGTTTGCCTTCTAAATGAAGTGACTGGTGTGAGCTCCCATTGAGAAGGGCGGCGGCTAACAACTTAGCCCAAGTCAAAACTCTTAAGTCATCAATAGCCCTCTGCCCTCTCCTTCCTGTCCTCCCGCTCCCCAACACTACTATTCCACAATAGCTGGAATTCATGTTCAGACTAATAATCAAGGTGACAAGGACCATGCTCCTATAACAGGTTCTTTTTCATATCAATTAAAAAAACACCAAAAATTTTTAAATTTTTCTAGCACTTGTTGCACAAAATATTTTTAATTATCAAGTTCTGGGTTTTCAGTTTAGCATCCAGGTGGGGAAAGTCTACTTGGCATTTCTTGAATTATCGAGTCCAGCCCTTTCCTAAATAGTCTCTGCCCTGTGCGTGCTCTGGGGACTTCCAGCAGCCGGAGTGGGTACCTTAGGGGACTAAATAATGCTGTTCAGTGCTGAAGAGGCAAAAAGAACATCTGCCTGCCTGTCCTGCAGTTCTCCCTGGGTCTCTAGATGCTGCTCCTGCAGTTGCTCAGATAGGCCTAAAGCCCCATTACACGTTAATCCCTGGCCCCAGGTCTTCAGGTGCAGATGTGTAGACTGCAAGGAGTTTGTCCCTCAGATGGCTCAATTCAACCCCAGAAGGGGACTGTAAGAAGGAAGGAGCAGCCTCCCTCCACTCCTGGGCAGGGTCTCTGAGACATATTTGAGCCCGCGTGTTTCCAGCTGTTGTCATGGGGGCCACCAGGGCCCTTGCTCTTCCTCCATCACAGACAGTGGCCTAAGCTGGGGTCTGAATGAGGGTCTCTCTGTTGGGGCAGGGCACTGTGTGACCTCACAAGTTGGTGCCTCCTTGAGTTTTACACCCTAGGTACCTTCCTTGCCCACCCTGGGTCTCAGCCCACTTGGGGGGTGGGCAGGGAGAGGTGCTTTATCCTGAATCCTTTAACCAGTGAAAGCATCTTTCTCCTCCTAGCCCTTCAAGAGAAATGGCAAGGTTAAGTGGGCAGCTGGGGGAACGAGGAGGGAGAAGCTCTAGGGTGGGAAGAAGTGAGGCCTCCAGCATCGTTTGACCCACCTCTGCAACCCTCACACTAAAAAAAACTAGCCCGAGAAACTCTGCCTGTCTGAGAACAGGGCAGGGAGTCCAGCCTGCCGCACACCTGCATCCAGGTCTGCAGTTTCAGTGCTGAAAGCGTGCGATTCAGGAAAGCCCCTGCCCCCACTTACCCTCTTCCTCATCTGTGGCTATAATGGCAATGTCAGGAAACCACAAGTGGCCCATCCCCACCCCTCACCCCAGCTGCCTCTCTGGGTGCCTATACAACACAGTATTACAACTATTAACACAACGCAGTATTACAGCTGTTAACATAGCATTTACATTGTATTAGGTATTGCAAGTAACCAAAGATGATTTAAAGTATACGGGAGGATGTACATAGGTTATATGTAAACACTACATCATTTTGTATCAGGGATTTGATACAAATACTCAGATTTTCTTATGGGGGGAGCAGTCCTGGAACCAGTCCCCCACAGATATTCAGGGACAACTGTGTGTGTGTGTGTGTGTATGTGACATACACACACGAGGGCACTTCAAAAAGTTTGTGGAAATATTCATATTATCTTTCAGTTCTATTTTTCCAAGAACTTTTTGAAGTACTCTTGTATATGCATCTTAAAATGATTAAGAAAAGTGAAAGCTAAGAATTTGTCTCTAGATCCCAGAAGCCCTGGTGACAATAAGAGACCCTTTTGCTCTGTCTTGTAGGTCCTTGTAGTTGACCTCGTGAACAATCGGTTCCTCAGACAGGTGAGTAGAAAGGCTGGTTTCTGCCTCTACTCCTTTTCTACCTCTTTGTTGTTTGGGGCTCAGCCCTCCGGCTCTGGAAAGGCTCCTTAGTAGGCCCAGAGTTGAGCGACCCCAGGCCAGGGCTGGCCTGAAGACAAGACAGGAGGCAGGGGGCAAGGAGGAGGGGTTTTGCAAAGGATTGATTTCCATGTGTTCTGACACAAAAAGGTTTGTTAGCAGTTAGAATCTTTGTATAGCTTATATCTCTAGGCAATTATCTTTTTCAACATGCTTTTAAAGATTATTTGAGGACAAAGTTCATGATATATTAAGTGGAAAAAATCAGGTCACAAAATTATATACATTATTTTACTGACCTTATTTTTTTAAAAGGAGAGAAAAAGAAATACATATACATTTATATGTACAAGTACCGTCAACCCTCTGTACCCATGGACTCCACATCTGTGGATTGAACCAACCACAGGTCAGAAATATTCAGAAGGCCGGCCCGTGGCTCACTCGGTAGAGTGCGGTGCTGATAACACCAAGGCCACGGGTTCGGATCCTATATAGGGATGGCCGGTTTGCTCACTGGCTGAGCGTGGTGCTGACAACACCAAG